GTTTTTGTCTTTGGGGGTGGTTTCCTTCACTTTCTGTCTCCTTGGGACGGGTTTCCATGGGTGCTTGTCTTCCTGAGGTGGTTTCCATGGATTTTTGCTTTCTTGGGGTGGGTTTCTGTGTTTTTTGTTTTCTTCAGCTGGGTTTCCATGAATTTTCTTAGAATCACAGCACGGCTTGGGCTCAAAGGGACCTCAAGGACCATTAAGTCCCACCCCAGGGCTGCCCATGCTCAATCACACCGTAGATAAGGTTGCCCAACCATTCAAACTAGCATTAAATACCTCCAAAGTCTTCTTGAAGAGTCAGAATGGCTTCTGAGCCCCACACGGATGTTCCATCCCCATCACCAACGTCGAGCACGAGCGATGGAGCAGGAGAACCCCCTCAAAGAAACCTCAGCATCTCCATCAGAGGGCTCTGCTTACAACGATCCCAGAGCATCTCCTAAAGCACGAAGTCGTAACTCCGTTCACGTCGAAGGAAATGAAGAAATACTGTCTGCAGACCCCACGCTCTGCGTGCACGGGCTCGACTCTGCTTCTCGGCTTCGACACGGCCGGAAACCACAGCCTTGGGACCAGGGGTAAAGGGTTGGCCTTTTCTTTTGGCGTCTGGTTGTGGCTCTCTCTGGTGGAAACCCAAATCCTCAGCATGGAGAGCTCCCAAACGCAACCCGAGGGCCGGGCAAGTGCTTCACACAGCGGCGCCGCTCGGAGCGCCGCCACTTATTGCTAAATCGCGCGCGATGGAGGCGATGGGACCAAGCAGCGCTTCTAGAAAACAATGAGGCATCTCGTTTGTTTGTTTGTTTTTGTGCTAAAGGGATGGAGATAATCTTTGTTCATCTCTCCGAGGTAGAAAAAAAATTGTCCCAGAGACAAGAAGCGCCAAGGCCGTCCTAAGACACGCGGCCGTAACGCGGGAGGGCACAGCGCGAGGACAGCACCATTTGGTTTTGAGGCATTCCAGGAACTTCCAGAGCTGGAGATGTCCATCCCGAGGCTGCCGGGAGGAGCAGAGCCTTTTGCTTTGCAGGAGGGGTCCATTGCTACCCTGAATTTTTAGAGTCGGTGGAGGGAAGGCCACCGACTGACGCTCCGTTGCAGACCTCCCTCTGCTTTCTCCCTGCTCCAAGCTACCAACAAGGCTGGGTCTCATCCTCACAATGCATATTTGGGCCCTGGTGCTGATTGTTAGTGGGCAAACACTACAAAGATCCGGAATAGCGAGCGGTAACAGCAAGGCAAAGGACAGCTGAGCTCACCCAGCACTGCTGTTACCGCTGCGATATTCCCGGGCGCACCAAAATGGGGCTGGAATGTTTGGTTTCGCTGAGATGAGCTTCCCGACGGGGCGAGAAGCGAGTGGGCACGATGGGCTGCCAGGGAGAAGCTCAGCACCCACAGCCCTGCGTGGGACTGGGGCAAAGCAGACTTCGTGTCAGCGGCACAAGGGAACGGCGGGACGGTCTGGTTCGCTACCAACCAGGAAAGAGTGGCGGGTGGAAGAGCTGCGGGGTCTGATCCTTAGAGAGCGGGGCACAGCTTGTGAGCACTCTGCACCTTGGCCCTCCGCACGCCCGAGCTGGCGTAGCCCTCGTCGCTGCACACGCTCTGCAGGCTGCCGCGCTCATCCGAGTCGCTGGGGCTGCTGCTGCTCCAGTCGAGGTCTGCGGGCAGGGAGTCGGTGCTCTCCACGTCCACGTCGATCTCTTCTGCAAGCAGAAAGCAAACAGCATCACCAGGAGCTCAGCGGCGCCTCCAAACACTGCGCACAGGCGTGCAGGTCTCACCTCTGTCTGAGTCGGAGCGCTCCGAGGACACGGCGGAGCCGACGCTGTCGGTGCGGATCCTCTCACTGCCCAACTTCTCCAGCTGCCTCTTCAGGTGCCGCTGCTCGCGCTGCAGCTGCTCGATCTGGTGGAGGGCTTTCCTGTCGTAGTCCTCGAGCTTCTGCAGAGGGGGACAAACGGGTTGGAAGAGACTTCAAAGGTCACAGAATCGTGGAATCACGGCACGGTTGGGGTGGAAGGGACCTTAAAGATGAGAGAATTGTGGAATCACG